CAGCAGCCCCTCCATGCCCTGCTCCTTCCCCCAGGTCCCCCAGTCTCCCCTCACCCCCCTGCTCACAGCAAATCTCCTGTTTCTGTGCTGGCCCAGAGCTCTCTGCCTTCATATTCCCTCTTTCAAGCTGCAAACAACAGCACTCAGAAACAGAGACACTCAGACCCAAGACTCTCCTGGACTCCTGTCCCTGCCTGACCAGGAGCAGGTCTCTGTTCAGCTTTGCTGCACCAAAACACCAGAGCAAGGGGCTGGGTGGGCTCTAACCCAAACACCAGCATTACCACAGGGCTGCCTCAGGAAGAAAAGCAAGTTCAGCCTCAGGAGACAGAGTCCCACCCCACACCTGCTCTGGCACCCCAACCAGTTGTCCCCAAGAAAAGGTAAGATCAGCTCACAGCTCAGCTCCTGAGTTGCCTGCAGCACGTCCCCTCGGTGACATTCCCACTCCAGGCTGGCTCCTGGACACTGTGCTGGCACCTCTGCCAGCCATCCACCCAGAGCAGAGGACAAAGGTAGTTGTTCCATCCAACTCCAGAAGCAGAGTGAAGGAGGCAGAGGCACAGGGGAGGGTCAGTGCTGAGTGAAACAAGCCCCAGCTGGGCAGAGACCAGCCAGCACAACCACCTTCAGCTGGGTAGGGCCCCACTGCCACCCACACAGCTGCTGGGACTCACTCATTGTGACCCAAGGGCTGGCCAAGGACAGGCTGCAGCATCACCCCCTGTTCCAAGGTCCCCAGCAGCCCCCCTCCAGCTGCACCCTGGCCCACGAGGCAATGCTGTCTAGGGAAGGACTGAGCAGGACAGAGAGCTCCCTCTGAGCAGCGACCAACACAAGGGCAGAGAACCTACAGCTGCACCAAGGGGGTGCAGGTGTAGGTTCAGGGGCAGGTTCACAGTCACCACAGCCCCAAATGTCTCTGGGGTACAGAACAGACAAACAGGAGGGACAGTGCAGGGTACGGGTGGCTGATGTATCTACTTCTTTTCCTGCTTCTGCTGCTGGTACCTCCTGAAGTGGGTCTGGATGGTGATGGCTGCCCTCTCCGAAGGGTCGCTGAAGAACGTGCTGTCCTTGCTGTCGTCAGGGGTCACATCACCTGGGGTGACAACAGAGCACCACAGTGAGCACAGGCAGTGCTGGTGGCCCTGAACAGGCTGCATAGAGCAGGGCAGGGCTCTGGCACCCCCACCACAGGGTCAGTGGCCTCCCCAGTCCCCAGGCTCCCAGACAGGACATCTTTCCTCGCTGGGGAGGTCAAAGAGGCTGAAAAACTCAGAGTGTGAAACCACAACTCCACTGGCTCACAAAGACACCTCCAGGGCACAGGGAGCAGGGAACAGGAGGCAAAGTAAAGCCCAGCCTCCCTGGCAGCACTAAGCCCTCTATTTACACAGCTCCACTCCCCAAAGACAGCAGCTTCCCCACGTTTAATCACCACGTATGATGCTCACTTACTTTCGCACACACAAATAAGATTAGAAAAAAAGCCCGGCACTGTACAGCAATAAAGCTCTCATGCTGACAAATGGGAGCCCTCCCCACTCCTGCTTAATGTGGCATTAGGGAAGTATTGTGAAATTCAACAGGAACTGCATCAAAGCCACTCAGCAGTGCTCCTCTAAGCCAGTGTGTCACTGCTAAGCACCCCCTGAGCAGCCATCAGGAATCCTGGGGCCAGATGCTGCTGTATAAACTCACTGCTGTCACCTGAACCCATTTCCTTTCACAACATAAAAGAAATTGCCAAGTAAAAAGATAAATAAGAGAAGGTCACGTTGGGAAGGGGTTCCCTCCTGCCCTGCTTAACAAGACACACCATCAGCTGTAAACCCTGCACAGTGCACAGGTCCAAGGGCAGAGGCTGAGGACCACAGGGCAGGTACTGCAGTGCCTGTCAGGAGGAGCCCTGGCTGTGTGGGCTGCCCAGAGCTCCACAGGAAACACCCCTGCCCAAGGAGCTCAGCCACTGTCTGCCTGGGGACCTGCACCCACTGCAGGGCAGTGAGACCCCCAAACCAGTGACCAGGCTGGCCAGAGCTCCTGGGTCATCCAGGAGGGATGTCACAGCAGCAGCACCCCCAGCCCCCACTGCCCCTTATCCGATTGGCACCAAGAATAGAACTGCTCAAAATCCTCTTTGCTGAGCCCTTGACTTCAGCAGAGGGGCAGAGCCTTGGAGACCAGAGCAAGGAGGAAAGGGGGCTGAATTCCAGGAGGGTTTACCAGAACAAGGAGAAGAGAAGAGGAAGAGGGGTTGTTTTGGGGGATAGTGTGAGTCCCCCCAATGTGACCCCATGGGAGTCAGTGAGGCAGGTTTCACGGGAAGAGGGGAGAAGGGATTTGCGCAGCCACACATGTACTGTTATATATTCAGTTATGCATCCCTGGGACCTTCACTGGCTGATACTACACATATTAACAAATATCTCACCATTAAATATCCTTTAATAATGTCACAGAGACAGATTTTTGGAAGTAGAAAGACAGCAAGAAGGATGCAGGTGCTGCAGTGCCTGCTCTCCTGCTGCATCCACAGTCCCAGCCCCGAGCTTCCCCCATTACCTGGGCTGTTTTTTTTTTTTTAATGCTTCCCTGCCTGCCCCATACTCACCTTTGTCTCCAGAAAGTGAGTAGATGCTGTTGTGCCGAGAGCTCTTTCCTCTCTAGAAAAGTAGAGAAGAAAACTAAGAGTTAGTTGTATCCCAGGCAGAGGCAGTGAGGACAGTCCCTTTCAGGCCAGCTGGGAATCTCTGAAAGGGACAGGACCAGCCCCACCAAGCTTTCCACTGTCCATTCCCTTTGGGAAACTGGAACATGATTACTGTTGTTCCCTTAAAGAGCACTGATTAATTAATCTACATTTGTGAAAAGACCTCCAAGGAGAGGCAGGAAAGAATTTTGCATCCAGACTCAGAGCTGTGAAATGTGCCAGTATACCTTGGAATGGATGTTGGCACAGATTATCCTCACTGGATCTGCATTTCAAACCAGCAAGGAGACTGGCTTGCTGGGTTTGCTTTCCCCCTTCCAGCCCCTACACTATGAACCTGCAGTTCCAGGGATGCCAGGTCTGATAGGGGATATTTCCATTCCTAAAAATAAGCTTGAATTTGCCTACAAATACCTCTCCTGCATTTTTCATCTTATCCCACCTCCTGACATCACCTTATTTTCCATCTTTTGGAGGGGGAAGAGAAAAAAACCTCTCCCCCCTGCCCACGCCTTCTGCTCGGAGCAGCCTGCCTGGCTGGCACAGCTGCCCCCTGCAGCAGGCAGTGGCACCCCCCGAGCCAGCTGCCCTGTGGTGCCCCCAGCCCTCACCTCGCTGTCCCGGCTGGTGCGGCGGCTCTGGGACACGCACTGGATCTGCCAGGGCAGGGGCTGGTACACCAGGTAAGGCAGGGGCTCCTCACGGAACAGGCTGGTCTCCAGCTGCACACAGAAAGGGTTTGCAGCAGGTAAGAGGACAGCAGAGAAAGGGGAAGAGCAACAGAAATTCCTGCTCCTTCACATGCACCACCAGTGACCAGAACCCTTCCTGGCACCACCCTGACGAGCAGCTCATCGGGAGGTCCTGGGGCTGCAGAGCCCACAGGGCTCCCAAACCTCCCAGCCAGGGTCTGAGCAGGCACAGAAGGCCATTCCCACCAGGATAAGTGGAGACCACTGCCTCCTCTCCCTGCCCCCACGGAGAGCAGCCCTAGACAGGGGAGAAATGCAAGGGAAGCAGTAAATCCCAGCCCGGACTCACCTGCCTGACCGCCCTCACCACAAAGAACAGCGCTGTCATCAGGGTGCCCAGCATGGCCGGGGTGTCCAGGGGCTCCCTCTGTCCTGGGAAGGCACAGCTCTGGGAGCAGAGCACGGTGATGTCCGAGCAGCCAGGGACTGAAGTGTCCCCCCTTGGGCAGGCAGAGACCAAGCCCTTAATGAGCTTATGGCTCGAGCTCCTCCTGGTGAAGTAATCGAGCGCTGCCCTTTTAACTTCTAATCGCCGAGTTTCTCCAACAGACACACTGCTGGCATTCCAGGAAAAGCAAATCCCCTTCTCCACCTACACAGGCAGGGCAGTGAGCACAGACACATGCACAGCCCAGCCCCAGGCTGGGCTCAGATCACAGCAAAACCCCCACACCAGGACGCTCTCACAGTCCAGACAGGACTTGGGATGTCTCAGAGCCGCCCTGTGCTCTTTGCAGGAACTGGGGCAAGTCAAGGCTTGGTGGTGGTCTGTTTTCTTTTTAAGGACAAAACTATCAGCCTCCACTTCTGCATGACCAGCTGACCCACACAGTGTGCCTCACCAGTCCTCCAGCTCCCACAGGCTGGCTGGCAGGAAGCCACAAGGGGACAGGAACAAGCCACGGGAAGAGAGAAGAGCGTCACCAATCCTCCCTAATTCCTAGGGAGAGCATTACTCAGCAATCCCACCACAGGATCCCAGAAGCACCCAGTGCACTGCTGGGGGAATTCCTGGCTGCTCCCAAATACAGCCCCAGCCAATCTCCAGTTACACAATTTTAACAGATCCCAAGGTGCCAGAGAGAAGCTCCAGCACAACACCTTGTCTTGGTTCTGTAGTTTTGGTTTTTAGCTTTTTCTGTCCCTGCATTTGCTACCCTGACCAGATACTTAAAAGAATAATGGTAATAAAGCCACAATGAGCTGAAGTGGTCTTGGAAACTGCCAGAAATGACCTTGACAAGACAAAACATGAGACTGCCCAGAGACAAGCAAGGGAAAGATGTGAGAGGCAAGTACAGCTGGATATCCAGAGCTACAACAAAATAGAGCTACAACCACCACCATCACACAAAACAGGCTCATGTTGATTTAATTTTGTACAAAACCAGATACAGCTGCTATCCCAGGTTTTAACAGGAAAAAGGAACATGTTTCAAACCGAGTTATTGTTAAATAAACTGGCATTTCTCTGCAGCACTAATCCATGCTTCTCCCAACACACGGAGTGGACTCAGTGATAATGGCTTTGGCCACAGTGAGCCAGAACCATGGAGTCCCTTCTAAAACACCTGACTGGAAGGATTGCCATGTTTCCCCCAGTATCCAGGAAACTAAAAGCAAAATCCCTACAGACAGGGGTTGGTGCAATCCAACAGCAGATGGGAAACCCGTGTTTTGATCCCTCCCTTCCTAGAGAGGACTAAGGCTGGCTGAGTAATTACAAAAATTCTAAGAAAATAAGCAAAAAAAAAGTAAAATAAAATATACAAACATTCTTAAGAGTTTTAAAATGATGCTCATCAAAAATATTATTTCTCTTTGCATGTAAACATCCCCCTGCCGTGCTCACGGCGTGTGCCAGCACACACCACCCAGGAGCAGAGCAGGAGGGGGCTGTGCATCATCACCCACCCGAGGAGCACACACAGCACGGAGGGTGAGGGGCATCTCAGGAGAAATGGCTTTGAAGATCATTTTTCACAGATGGGATCCCTTGAAGTGCAGGCGTCCTCATCAGGCAAAATGGCAAGTGGCTCGGCATCTTTTTAGGGCATAAAATATTTAGAGTCAGCTTGGAGAAAACACTGACAACAGACAACCAAACACCACATTCCTGCTCAGCAGCACGAAATCCTGACCCCTCCCCACTGGGTAGAGTAGCACCATCTGCCCCCTCGTGCATCCCAGGGGGCTGGGATACACTCTGGACACGGCCTTTCCCAAGGAACACGACTGCAGCCACCCAGGGAGCAAAGCCACGAGCCACCATCTCGCAGCTGAGGTCCAGGAGCTGCTCACCCCAACCCCTCAGCCAGCTTTCCAGTCTCCAGAGCCCGTCCCACAACTCTCCTCTCCCAGGATCCCTGTGGAGCTGCTGCAGGAGCAGCCAGGCCAGGCTCAGGCTGGATGCCAAGGGCTCCCCAGCCCTGCCCAGGGAATATACAGACAGGGCTGTATATACAGACAGAGCCCAGCTGCTGAGCTGAGCCCTGGATCCCTCTCCCAGGGCATGGAAGGAGCAGGTGGGGCTCTGTCTCGACATTCACAGCAGACTGAGCTCCTCAGCAGTGCCTGCACCAGCAGACACTCCTCACACTCCCCTGCCATCCCTGCTCCCGTTGCCATTGGCACATCCATGGCACAGGAACAGAGCTCCCACAGCTGCTTGGCTGAGCAGCTCTGGCCAGTCTGGCACAGAGAGGAGCAGGGACTGCTTGTCCAACGCTGCCATGGAGAGCCACTCCTGGCTCAGTTCCTGTTGCTTCCACCCCAAACAAGCAGAACATTCCCCAAGAGCCAGAATCTGTCATTCCCTGATTTTGTCCCCAGACTCTGCACCATTCCACTGCTCCTTCTCCCTGCTCACACGTGCCACAGGCCAGCTGACACGGCCCACCTGCCATGGAGCATTTGCTGGGCTCATTTCCTGACACGTTTTCTCCAGCACAGTCTCAGCTGGATTCAAATCCTCCCCCTTGACCAGTTACTCAAAGTCCTCCATGATTCACAGCTCTGCCTCACCACTGCTAGAATACTAATGAGGGAAATGTTGATTTATCGAAGCCCTGATATGTCACCGCTGGATTAAATAGTCTATAAAGTATATTTGGACACATTACAGGATTAGAAGAATCCACCTGGGAAGTTTGCTTCCTCCACTCTCTTGCAAAGAGACTTGTTTTCAAGGACACACAGACTCAGCAGTGGTGGCTGAGTGGGCATCACTGAGACCCAGCACACCACAGGGAGACCCCCACCATCTCTCCAGAGAAAACCCCCACCTTTCAGTAGTGGTACACCTTAATTTGCCTGTTTTCATCCATTCCCAGCTGGAGGAGGCTGGGGCTGGTGCTGCTGGCCGGGGGCTTCTGTGCACGTGGGGAGAGAGGTCTGGCAGTCGGGTGAAGGAAAAGCCTGGCTTAGAGCAGGAATTAGCACACCTGAGCACAGCCAGACAGGGCAGGTACTGAGGTACACAGCCAGCCTTGTGCACACATGCTGTATTTAGCCTGCTGCATCCCAGTCAAATGGAATTAAAGGGGGATTAGGGAATTCAGAGATGCACCAGGCTCAGGACAGCACAGAGGCCCCAGGGATTTGCTGCTTACAGTGAACACTGGAAGAGACACCAACATACCACACAGCCTGGAAACATCCCTGCTAACAGCACAGAGAGGTCTTGCCCTCTGGATCCAACCTCATGCTGCAAGATGCCTTGAAATGGGAGAAGAGCTCCAGGAGGAGCCCAGCCCTTGTGGCCACCCCATGTGCCAGGTCAACATGTCTCCAGGTGCCCTCACTTCATCCTGGGCTGCCCAGCAGGGCCTGCCCGTGGCAGACCCCCTTCTTCCCTGCCACCTCCTCCACTCTGCACTGTTTGGTTCACATTTTCTAAATTCTCACATTACCAGCTCTAACTGCTCTTTTATGGCAGAGCAGCATCCCTAAAGGGCATCACAAGCAGGGAAAGGAAGGGAGGAGAATTCCTCAGTCATGTACAGCTCAAGGAGCAGCAAACAGGTCGCTCATGCTCTAACTGCTGAGCACCACATTCCTTTGCAGAACCAGACACTAAGCTTTGGTGCTCCCAATTCACTCACCTCCTCCTGCCTGTTGCAGGGAGCAGGAACACAATTAAAGGCCAGACCCAGGTAAAGGATACGCTTTTGAGTCCTTCCTGAAGCTTTTCAGCCATTTCTTGTTGCTCTCGATCATCCCCTCGATGCTCATCTTCCCCTGCTCACGGAGCCTGGAATGCTGCAGCTGCCGGATTTGTTCACTGTGGCACATGAGAGAGTGAGAGGGTGGGTGGGAAAGAGAGGTCTGGGCAGAACGGATGAGAAAGTGATGGGTTGTTATAGAAGGAGCTCACCTGAGCACGTGGCAGTGAACAGCTAATGTGATAACTTATTAATATATTATTTTTAATATGTAATTTGTTATTGTTATTTTTAATATGTAACATGTTGTTACCAACACGTAATTTACAATTTGTTATCTGCTAGCTATGTATGTGACCCAATAATCATCCCAGAGAAGTGACAGCAGCACAGTGGAACATCTCAAGGAAGAAGACCCTTACTCTGCAGGTATGTATCCCAGCTTGTTGTCCAGAGGCTTGGGATTCCCACTGAGCGATGAGATCCCATCTGGAAAACAGACATTAAATACAGACTCACCAAAATCAACATTCCTTATCACTCCTTATCCCATTAGCACCCTTCCTATCAGCGGCTCCAGTGCATCTGCCCTTCCAGCATTGGAAGGGTGAGACAGCCAGAACTTGCAGGGCTGAGAAATCAAAAGCTGAAGGCAAGGAAGAAGAACGGATTAAGGACAGGAGACTCACCTGGGAAATACCTGTGCCATTTCTCTGCCAGGATGTTGTCCACTGACCGCCCTGAGATGGAGACACCAGTGCTCAGCCCACTGTTCCAGGCCCACCTGTCAGTGGAAGGCACCCTGGAAATATCCCCCAGGGAGCTGCCTGCCTGCAGGCCTGCCAAGGAGGAATATGTGGACAGAGGGATGCCATCACGGGCTGTCGAGGCGAAGAGAGGGGTGTGGTGATGGCTCAGGGAGTCCAGGACACCCAGGACCCCGTTCAGCTCACTGGTGATACACTGCAGAGAGTCCCTCAAGTGCTGGATCTTGTCCAGCTGGGGGACAGGCCATAAATCCATCCTCAAATCAACTGAAGAAAGAGAGGAGAAAAAAGGGGTCGCAGGCAAGTGCTAACAAGAGCAGCCTTTGTGCAAGCAACCCAACCCTCCTGCCCCTCCTCCCCTGCACAACTCCAGCCACAGGCAACTGAAGGCCAACAAAAAGCACATGCAGCAGAGAGGGAATTGCAGCAGCCTCTCCTGCCTTGGATGTGAAGAAGGGGAAACCCAGACTCCTGCAGAAGAGCAATACAGCTCTGCAGCAGCAGAGGGAAGAGCTGCAACCAGATTTTACAATGCACAGAGATTTCAAGGGCAAGTTTGTGCACAGTCTCCATCCCTCTTATCTGCCACTACAGGCAGGAAACAAGTTTTTCCAATCAAGTTTCATGCACAGAGCAGTCCCAGCTATGAAAACCAGACCTGCCTTAGACACCACTGAGCACAAGTGAGAACATCATCAGAGAGGTGCAAGGCAAAGCCAGAATAGGTCTAGAGCCTCACAGGTTGGGCACAGCACACCGAGCCAGTCAGGCACTTACATTTAGGCTGACACAGTTCTCCAATGGATGCACTCTCTGTGTCCTCAGAGTCACTCAGATCAAAAGTCACCACCTTCTTGCAGGCAGCACTCTTCAGTGTATCCTCATCTGAGAGCTGCTCAGGAGGAAAACAAAGCAACAAAACCTGCTGTATCATCCCTGAAACATAAAAGCTGCTGGAAATCTGCCTACAGCTTGTCTACTCAGTCAGGCACAGGTCAAGTGAAGGCAAACTCGTCTTCAGTCCCTGACAGCAAAATCTGAGTATCAAGAGGCTGCTTAGGCTCTGGAAGTGTGAGAGGCCAAATCCAACAGCCATGTGAACTGGCCCTTCTAGACAGGAGGCAACGTGTTTTGTGCTTTAAATAACCCTCAGAACTCTTGCAGGGCTGGGTTCCCTCTTTGCACCCTCCAAAGTCTGTGCTCTTGCATCTGCTGCTGCCCTGCCCAAGGCCACGTGGTCCCAGGCAGAGCCAAAGACATTCCAAGGCTTGCCTTGGTCAGGAGAGCAGACTCCATCCCAGACCTTGTTTTCTCTAGGCTCTTTTCCAGGCTGCTCTCTGCAGCCACACACTCAACAGTCTTTTGTGATCTCACAGAATGTGTTTCAAAATCCAGCTCTGCTGGCAAACTCCAGTCTCTGGCCACCAGCTAAAGGGTCCTCACAGGGACCACCAGTCCCTCAGGGCCTCCAGCCTGGGGGAGGAGGCCAAGAGCTCTGGGCACGGGGAATGCAGCTGGGAAGACCCTGGGAGTGATGCTGGTGTTACCTCCTCCAGCAGTGAAGACTCCAGCTGGCTGAGCTTCTCCTCCTTCTTCTGCAGCAGCACCTGCCCCTTCTGCATGGCCGACTTCATCTTGTCCAAGTGCTTGGCCTCCTGCAGGGGATCAACAGCCAGGCAAGGAGGGAAATTAAACCAGAATGACAGAAAATGATCTGTTACCAGTCAGGGTGACTTTCATTATCTCAATCTGCTCAGCACAGGAAATGATGCTGCTGGAGCGAAACTGCCCCCAAGTCCTCGACAGCTCGGGAAGTGGTGTGGACAGCAAGCAGAGCACATGGCTCAAAGCCCAAGGAAAAGAAGGTTTTACTTCCAAACCCCACTTCCAACAGGGTCAGCACACCTGCAGAGCCAGGAATTGATCCCAGGGCTGTGGGATTGTTTGTGCAGCCACAGTGTCCACCCCCTGTGAACCAGCTCAGGGCTCACCTCCTCCAGGTTCTGGCGCATGCCCTCCAGGAGCTGGGAGCTGTGGGGATCCTGCAGTGCCTCCTGTGCCCTCTGCAGGTCCTGGCGCCACTGCACCCTCGCAGCCTTCAGTGCTGAGTGCCTCCTCCTCATGGAGCGGGTCTGGTGCCGCAGGAACTCCTTGGCATTCCGGAGGGAGGCCCCTTCCGCGGAGATGTAGCTCCGGACACTGGAGCAGAGAGGCAGGTGTGAGTCCTGGCTGCCTGTGCCCTCCTGCACGCCTCACACAGCACCTCCCAAAAACCAGACTGTCAGTGCACCGTGTGTGAATCCAAGCTAAAGCATTTGCTTGGAAAACCAGAGCGAAAAGAAAGGCTTTGGGGCACGTGGATACTCACGGATCACACTGGAAGTCGCTTTCCTCGTGGCTCTGAGAGGCTGAGGAAGCAAGTTCTCTGGATGAGGGCTGAGGAGGTAAAGCATTTCAGAAATTAAGAAACATGTATGGGAAACAGAACCCCAGGGCTCCTGTAAGAATTCCATTAGGAGTAAAAACTTGGAATGACATCACCATGGTACTGCCTAGATCCAAAAACTGTGCCTGGGATGTTCTTCATGTGATTTTTGAAGGAGAGACAGACATTTCTATTCCAACTCAAGCCCTGCTTTTGACTCCAGTATCCCACACTCCTCTCCACCCACTAATAACAGATAGAAATCAGCAAATACTACTGAACACAGTGGCAAAGAGAAATGCATCCCCTCAAATGATTTCACACAGAAGGAACAAAAGTTGGGATTTTCAAGAGAGTTACAGCCTCAGATCTCACAAAGCAAACACCTTCAGAGTCTGCTTTACTCACAGCTTGAGTACTTTCTCTCAGGTCTTCAATACGGAGCTCAGATTGCTTTCTTGGGGACTCCACACTCTCTTCTGCCTCCAGTTCTTTCAGAGTCTCCTGCCTGCTCCTGACTGCTTCCTCCAGCTCACTGCCACAGGAAAGGAAACAGTGGAGGCACTTGATTAGCCTGCAGTCCATCCTGGCTGCAGTGGTGTCCAGATTCCAGGAGGGAAAGGGCCACAGGTGTGTGAGACAGCACCAGTGTTGGTTCTGTGCCAATCATAACCCCTGGCTGGGCAGGGAAACCGCTTCCCACCTTCCCCAGCAGCTCAGCCACCTCAGGAAAGTCTCTGCATTTCAGTGCCCCTCTCACAGCACCTCACTAACCACACGAGGCAGGTGTGGAGGGGACAAACAAACCTGAGGAACAGAGGTAAAGGAGCAAATTCCCACCCTGAGCTACTGATTGGGAGGGAAACTGCTCCTACACACCCGATGCGCTTCTGCAGCCTCTGGCTGCGGGTCTGCAGCAGGTCCACCTGGGCCTCCAGCTCAGCCTTCTGGTCCTGCAGCTCTTCCAGAGACTTCCTCAGCTGCCGGACGGACTCCAGGAGGCTGCCATGCTCCTTCCTGCTCTCCTCCAGGCGCAGCTGAGAGGCCAAAGCAGCTTCCTAGAAGAAAACAAAAAAAAAAATCCCTCGTGGTCATTTCCCCAGAACCAAAATAAGAGGCACACACAGCACACGAGGGCTCGCTGCCTGCACGGCTCACAGGGGTCCAGAGCTGCACACACACACACCCCAGTCCTGGAAAAGCAGGACTGTCTCTTCTCTTTGGGAAACAGCTCGGAGTTAATCCCCCTCCCAGCAGGATGGCACTCCAGACTGGGGCAGGGAGGGATTTTCAGCCTCACGGTTTGGAAGCAATGGTTTCTTTTCTTTTTAAAGCCACACTTCCAGCATGGTGCCCTCAGCCCCAGCAGCAGCACAGCCCCTGTCCAGAGCTCAGGCATACATACATCCCTTTCCAGCTGTGTCCTCCTGTCCTCATCCAGCAGCTGCTGCCTTTTCCTTCGCAGGTCCTCCTCCTGGGCACAGGTGAGAGAGCAGGTGAGTGTCAGAGCCAGGAGACTGAGCACCACCTCAAGGACAGACATCAGGCCCAAGTTTCAAAATCCCCAAGGACTGTCAGATTTGCTTCATGATCCCTCTGCTCCTCTCACAGTCACTCACTATCCCCCAAAGCACTGAGCAAACCCACAGCTCAGGCTTTCACTGCAAACACCAGCCCTGAGGCTGCACCACCAGGAATGCTTAGCCCTGCTCTGACCTGAGATGGAAGTTGTACCTGCAACTGGGACAGCAGTAGAAGCCCTGGCTGAGCATTTCTGACCAGCTCCCCATGAGGAAGCAGGACTGGCACAGGTAAGGGAACTCCTGTGAGCCCACCAGGCCGACTCACCTGGCTGAGGAGCTGCTCTGATCTGGCTTGGAGGCTCTTTGCACGTATTTCAAGCTCGTTCTCCGCATCCTGGATTTTTCTTTCCTGCACAGAGACACTGAGTTAAAGAGAGAATGGTACAAATTCCTCCCTCACCTAGCAGAGCTCTGCCACAGGGGGGACAACACGGGCTGGGAAGCATGACCTGTTACTCGTGTCAGTCCCCCTGGGCTGTGGAGGGTGGCAGGGGCACAAGGTGTGGGGTACCCTGGGCACCCCGAAGCAGCCAGGTCACACGGAGCAGAGGGGTGCCCCTCACCTTCTCCCTGTGCCTGTGCTTCAGGTCAGTGAGCCTCCCCTCCAGCTCCTCCTGCAGAGCCTTCACCTCGGCGTTGTGGGACTGCCAGAGCTGCAGGGTCTCGCTCTGCACCCTCTGCAGCAGCTCTGACCTCCGCCTCCGCTCCTGAGTGGGGAGAGGAAAAGCCCTCAGTGCAGCACAGGGCTCTCACAAGTGAACAGACACATGGGACACTCTCTGGAGAGCGGTACCTCCTCCTCAAACTGCTCCTTAATCCGGGCTAAGGCCTCCCTGTGCTCCTGTCTCATCCTCTCCATCCTCCTCTCGTGGTCTCTTTCCACCTCCTGCCGTTTCTCGCTCATGAGCTCGCTGAGCTGTGGGGATGAAAGGGAAAGATGTTCCCTTTGAACGACAGCACTGCATGACAGGGAATCCCCAGGAATCAACCTCCCACACGAGCCCAGGGATTGAAATCCAGAGTGTGATCAGGCTGTGGTCTGGGGAGCACAAAGGCTTCACCCCAGTGAGGTGAGATATCCTCTCCCCTAAGGCACCACTGTCACCCCTGGGCAGGGGACGTGGGCTCTCAGACCTCACCACACCCCTGGGGAGAGAAGGTGGGGGAACACTCACCTCCCGCTCGTATTCCTTCACTTGGAAGGCTTTTTGCTGCACTTTCTGACCCGCTCTCTGCAAGTCTTCACGCAGCTGAGCCTCCTGGCTGCTCTGTGCCTCTGCTAGCTGGGTTTGCAGGCTGGAAATGACCTGCCATGAAAGCCACCCACAGAGACTCGTCACCCCTCCGACAGGCTCCATTCAGTGCCCTCCTACAGGGAGCCAGCAGCACGGCAGAGCCCTGCCTGCAGTCTCACCACCCCCTGCCTGGAGCATGGCCAAATGCTGAGACAGACCAGAACCACGGTGAGGAAGTGGAAAAAAAATTAATGCTGCCCTCCCTGGCCACCTTTGGTGACAGTGTGTGAGGAAAAACCCAACAATTCACATACTGAGGACACCGTCTTTACCTCACGGTGCTTCTCTTCTGCTGCAGACTTCAGCTGCTGGAGTTCACCTGCAAACTGTTTCTCCAGCTCCTCTACTGCCTGTGGAAACACGAGCAAAGCAGTCTGGGGACATGATGGATTTGCAATTAAATTCTATCCGTAAGCATCAAAAAGAACAATGGTAACCCCCTTCCAAACTGGATCACGTACAAGGTGCCTTTACTCTCTCTGTGCTTTCCCCCTCCCAGGGGTTTCGATGGATCTCAATCATGCTGTGCTAGAAAAACTAGAAACTGCCCCATTCAAGGACTCCCCATGTCCCTGGAGGACTAAAGCTGTACCCAAAGTGGTGTTTGGAGCTGATAAAGTGGTTTCATTTAGTTCTGATCTGATAACAGAGCTCGGTTTAGCTCAGCAAGACACACAACTATCCTGCTCGTCTTCAAATTCAACGTGGCTATTTAAACAATTGTTAGTTAATCACCATTGTAATAACAACTGGGGGAGTTCTCCCCTCCTCAGTGTGCCCCTAACAGCCCACTTGGCACCCTCCCTTTGTGCTTTAAGTGCATCATAAACACACAGGTGTGATTTAAATCCCAGCGTTTCAGCACTACAGTGCCAGCCAGGTCAGCAGGAACAGCTCGGGGCTGACCCTGATTTGTAACAAAGATCTCACCTTCTTCTTCTCCCTGTCTAACCTGTCCCTGACCTCGCTCAGGAACTGTTCCTTCTCTCGTTCCAGCTCCCTGATCTCTTTCTGCTGGGCTTCCTCCATTTCCAGCTTCATTTCCTCCAAGGCAAGCTGCTGCTTCCTCTCCAGGCTCTCCTTCTCCTTCAGCTGCTGGGATTCCCACTCCTCCCTTAGTTTCTGCAGCGTGGCCTCCTGCTCTGCCCTGGTGGGTTTGTAACAAGGACACAGAAGTCAGGATTCAGTCCTGCCCAGTCAGGGCTCAGACCTGCTGCCACAGCAGGGAAACAGCTCTGAACCTCCACTCTGAGCAGCTGCTGGTGGCATGCAAGATCCTTCCCTGCCAGCCCAGCCCGGTTTGTATCCCCGGGGATGGCAGCACAACTTCTCACCTCATCCTCTCCTCCTCTGCCTCGGTCTCTGAGGCGATCTTGGCTCTCAGCTTCGCCAGTCTCTCAGCTTCTTCCTCTCTGACACGCAGCTCTTCCTCCTCAGAAACCTTTGCCAAGTCTTCTCCTGGAGTCCTGGGAGATGAGCAGCCAGAAAGAAAAAGAAGAAAGGTTCAGGAGGTTTTAAAACCTTCCAATCACCTCCCCAAGGGCTATAGCTCAGCTGCTGCTCCCAACTTGGCTGTACCTGCCCAAATTATGCTCTCTCAGGGCTCCAGATCTTTCATTTCCCCCACACCTGCAGGACCTGCTGCTGGCACAGGAGATGCAGCCCCAGCATCACACCTGAGCAGTGTGGTTTTAAAACACGCCGCACTTAGTTTGGGGATTTTTTTTGCAGGTAAATGAAATCAACTCTCATTAAATGGATGCAGGCTCCCAGGCAAGGTACCTGGATGCGTTAGTACATCTGGAAGCTCCATATTTCCACATGACACCTCTTACTACACGTTTTCCCCTTCAGGTGCATTTTCTGCATCTTCCTTCACACCCAGACTGCATCCCCAGGACATCTCATGTCAAGATGCTGTTTCTGGCTGCTCAGTGTGCTAAGAACATAAGTATCAAGTCCACCAAAATAATATACAAGCCTCAAGAGAAAAATTCCCCCAGGGAAAGGACACAGCTCCCAGTGTTGCTCTCAGATCCTGGGTTTCACACAGCCATCCCTTCTGCCCTATTCCTGGAAGCCTTGTTTGGAAGTCCCTCTGTAAAACATGCAGCATCAGAGCTCCAGATAGACCCTCTGGGGTAACCTCATCTCCTCTAACACTCCCATTTCCAGTCCTGTTACGACCATTTAGCCCAGGATTTGAACATCTGCCAGGTGGCAAAGCTCCAAGCACTGAGCTGGAAACTTCTCCCAGGTTAAACATAAGAGACAAGTTCCAAAGGCTGCGTGTGCATGGAATCAGAGCTCATCTCACAGGAGGTGGGAAGATGCTCTCCTGTCAGTGCTGGAGAGCTCTTTCCTGAGGCTGCCTGTGCTCTGACAGCAGGGCACTGTCCATCCCAAGGTGTGCAGATCCTCATGCACAGGATTGTCCAAGGCCCACATTCCTCCTCCTCCTCCCTGAGAGCCTGGATCTTGCTCCTTTCCCACACCTCTGGGAAGCAGCACCACTTCCAAGGTGGTGGCTACCACAGCACAGGGTCTGTGACCAGCAGCAATGAAATCCCAGCTTGGAAAGGCTCAGGGGAGGTGGAGTAAAAAAGGCAAGTACCTGAGGGATTTTTCTTTTTGCTGATCAAGCTTCTCTGCTTCCTCCTCCTGCCTTGTCTCCTCCTGGAATTGCTGAATTTTCTCCTCCTTTGCTTGAAATAAATGAATTTCCTCTTGCTCAAGCTCTGTCTCCACATTCTTGGCTATTTCCTCCAGGGATTCTTCTCTAGGCTGGTTCAAGGACTGCTGGTCCTTGATTTCCTCCTCAGGTTGCCTACCAAAGAGAGAAAGGTCCTTTGGCAAAAGGGCGACAGAAAACGGAGTAACACAAAAGGAACAACAACATCCCCCCCAAAGAGTATCAACCCCACACCAAAAATCTCAGAACCCCCTAGTTCAGAAGCCTCACTCAGGCCCACCACTGGTGGATCATCAGCTCTGACTGATAAATGAGACCCAGCCCCAGCAGCACTCCTGAACAACTCGGATTTTGGTCCACCAGAGCTCACCTTGTGAGGGCAATACAAGATCATGAAGGATCTAGTAGCTACAAAGCCCTGGCCAGGCTGGCAGGCACAGGAGCAGATGCCACCAGCACCTGCTTCCAGCCCAGGGATTGGTGCTTCTGATGGACAAGGTATTTCTCTGCAATTGCAACCTGAAGTGTGCTGGGAGTTTGCCAACTCCAGGCAACAGAAAGCCCCCAGCACTCCAAAAATTCAAACCCAGTCTGGTTCTAATTAAGGTGGTTTTTTTTTCAGACAGACAGTAGCAAAATTATAAGGTCTGAGAGAGGCTGAAGGGGAAGGAGGGGAAAATTGAGATTAGTGTATGAAGAAAAATTTTCATTCTTTGCTAGTGCAAGCTGGAGCAGGAAGGTCTCACTGTGCTGTGAGACTGCCAGCATAAGGCAGAGTGACTTCTGTTCTGCCAGGAATCAGGGAAGTAACAGCCCCAGTTATAGAGCCTCGAGTCAGAAGAGAAAAGGTCACTTCTGCAGCCATTAGCAAAAAGAACAAGACAGGAAGGTAGTGGGGTTCTGCAAAAATCCTGCTTCACTGGTGCTCCCCATAATGCCACCTGCAGCAGGTGTCCTTTATCAGGCTGCTCTGCAGAGCAATTCAGCCACTTCCACCTTTTCATCATGTTCTTCCTTTAGCCCCAGTTCCTGCTCCAAAGGAGACCCAGCACACACAGGTTTGCACAGCACCACAATTCCCAGCAGAACAGGGGAGACACTGCACAGGCCTCCACAGCACAGATCCTTCTCCCCCACCTTGTCCCAGGAGACGCTGCCTAATTTTTCCAGTTGCATCTGCTGATGTGTCATCTGACACAGAATGCAAAGTCAGCACAATCGCAGGGACTGAGCTCCTCTGTCACAGAGGAGCTGCAGCTACGGATCCACAAATACCACTGGAATTGCAGCAACAGAAGGGTGGCTCGGGCAGGAGCTCTGACCTCAGCGTTTCATTATTTCAATGCTGTTCCTAGTGGCTGTAAAATTGGGGTGACTGGTTGGGTTTTTGCTGTTCCCCCATCTCAGCACCACCCAAAGCCTTTCTCAGGCAGGGTGGCACTCGCGGCCTCGCCAGCGACACCAGCACGGAGGAGGCTCTCCCAAAGACAAGGCAAACAGCTCCTTCTCACCCCAGAGTCCTGAGCCACAGACCCCCAGGGCTGAGCTGCTGTTCTGGCCCTCCCCAGCACAGACTGCTCACTTGGCACCCCACAGCAGCACAGCTGCTGGGATGTGCACACGAGCTGTGCCGTGCCCACCAAACCACAGCTCCCGTTCACACGCGAGCCCAGCACAGAGGGGGACAAAAGGACACAAGCTGTCACAATCACGACACCAGCCACTGAAGGGAAGCCCTTACGTGTCCCGTGGGGCAGACAGCTCCTCTGGATCCATCGGGCTGCCCAGCGACCCCTCCGCCGCCTCCTCCCCATCGGGGCTCTCTAAACCCAAACACTCCTCTGGTGTCTCACAAGCACCGAGATCCCTCTCGCTTTTGCAGCACAAAAAGAGGGGACAGAAGGCCATGTTAGCTCAGCTCAGGCTAGTGGTTGCTGCAGGTGGACAAGGCAGGGGACGGCAGGACACGCAGGTGACAGAGGTGGCACCAAGCCACGGCTGCCAACGGGACACAAACACCCAACACGGGGCTGCCAAAGCCACAGGGAAGCTCCACACCATTCCCACCACCTCATAGCAGACTAACAGGCAGCTGAGGATGTAACAGGTGCCGGTCTCAAAATGCTGGATGCCTTCCCTGGGTTATCCCCCCCCTTTCCAGGTTCTTGGAGAATGTCCCCAAGGTACATCAGCCCTATCAGCAACACTCACACTGCTGTCCAAATTGCAGATGGAAGTGTTGGCAGGCATGTTTGTATCTACAGTCCTGCTTCATCTTGGAAGTACAGAAAGGAGAGACAAGGCAAGCACAAGCAGCTTTACAGGCAGAGAGGAGAGGATGCTCAGCTGGCAAGCAGGTATCAAGTGATAAAGAGAATTCCTGCAGGCAGAACACGTTTTTGGGGACCCTCACACAAACAGCTTCTCCAAGAACAAGGCTGCAAATCCCATGTCACTCAGCCAGTCATTAAGATGGGCTGCAGTTTCTTCTGCTCACAAGTTTTCCTGGCACAGGCAACAGCTCCTTGGTTCCCAGAGCCCTGGAGAACATGTAACTCTGCGTGGAGGCCAAGAGCTTTGACACAGCTCATCTGTAAATGCCACACTGCAGCTCTCCAAGGAGGAGGGGCTCAAGGGAGCAGGGAGCTCACTGCTTAGCACAGTTTTAAACAAATCACCACAAACAGGCTGAAAACAGCTCTGCTAGACAGCCTAGTCCTCATGGTAACTGAGGGTCGGGAAGCCAGCATTCCTCTTGGGGCAACAGCTGGTGAGCTGTCCACATACCAGGATATAAAACAGCTTAATGCTTACACCTGGTCCAGGTCACCTCTGTGGTGGCCTAGAGAGAAGAGAACTGTTCACATCAGAGCTGGACTCTCCTGGCACCACAAAAAGGTGCCAGGTTGGCCCTGAGAGCCCTCAGGTACAGGCTCTGCCCAGGGGGGAGCTGGCAGCCCAGCAGGACCAGTGCTGAAACGAGGGGCTGACTCAGAACCAGAACAGTCATCAGGCAACAGCCAATGACCACATCCTCCCTGGTTCAGCACCACAGGGCCCAGCACAGCGTGAACAGGTTCACACCCTCCTGGCAAGAGCGTGACTTTTGGACCTTTCTAGAGCAGGCAGGGAGCTGTAAGGGAGACAGAGGAGCTGTAAGGGAGACAGAGGAGCTGTAAGGGAGACAGAGGAGCTGTAAGGGAGACAGAGGAGCTGTAAGGGAGACAGAGGAGCTGTAAGGGAGACAGAGGAGCTGTAAGGGAGACAGAAGGCAGAGCCACAGCTGGAGCAGCCACCAGGAAATGATGGACAGGCAGTTTCACTGCTCACCCAGCCAGAAGTGGTGCTGAGAGAGTGCTGAGGGGGTGGCAGGAGAAGGGAGAGGTTTAGTGGGAAAGACCCTGTGAGAAGCTGCAGCACCTCAGGGTGTTGTACAGGGGACTCCTGTTCAGGTCACAGTGAGCAGAGCAGGGAGGACAAGGCAGGAAGGGCACCAGGAGCCAGAGCTGTCCATGCCTCCTGAGTTTCTCTGTTTGAACCATACCTACCTCTCAGGAACTTTTGTTCTTTTGCTTTGCTCTTCCTCTGTACTGGCTTTGCTTTGGTCTTTTTCCTCTTCTCCCAGCTCCTGGGCCTGCAGGTAAAAGCAAACAGGGTGGAGTTTGTGGCTCCTTCACCATTAAAGACCTTACAGGGGGTTCTGCTGAAGGTCCATGGAATCAGCACTGAGCCCAGGGACCACACAGATCCACAGGCTGTTCCAGAATGTTGGATGTGCCAGCCTCCTCTCCTGGGGGTAAGCAAGGGGCTCCAAACATCACAGGAATGCCCTGCAGGAATGCTTCCAGAAGCACAAGAAGCCTGGGAGCTCAGCTGTTTCAGTACAGAAGATGAACTCCCTGCCAGCACTAAGCACTTGGGACACAGGTTTGGCTTTTACCTGAAGGTCATTTCACATTCCCAAGTAACACTAAACTTCCTGAAAAATGCAGGACAAAAATCTCCTACAAGAGAAATGTCACACACAAACTAACGTGGTGGGGCCATAAAACAAACTGATGTATTGGCTGGGACCAGAATCACATCAGGGCTCAGTCCTGCCTCCCATCCTGGTTCTAGGGCAGCTTGTGCTGGGCAGCACACACAGAAATCCAGGGATTTCTGCCTCTAGGACACATCAGGGTGGGTGCTGCCCCCTGAGCATTCAGTTGGCTTATTTATGACACAGGAAATACTGGAAATATGAATAACCAACATTTGAATGTGAAATAGTATCACCTGCTCCTTTCCCCACTGCCAGCTCCCAGATCCCTCTGTCCCCACAGCACAGGGGCAGGGAAAGGACTTCCCTCCTCACCTGCCAGCTCCACAGGAGGCAGCGAGGGCTCCCCCTCCCTGCTGAGAGTTTGGGTCCCCAAAAACACATCCCATTCATAAATTCTTGGTGACCACGGACCCAGCAGGTGAGCCCAGCCCCTCCTGTGTGTGGAGCAGGGCCAAAACAACACAGAATTAAAACAGCAGTAATTTATGCAAATGTTCAGTGGAGCAAACAGCAGAAGGATTCCCTGCAAGTGCTGTCACCTTCCATCACATCAGCCTGGGCAGAGCTCTGCAGCAGCCCCCCAGCCCCAGCCCCCCTCCTGCCCCTGTAACTAATGACTGCAATTCCCGGGAACGAGGAGCTCAGCAAATGTTTCCTCGCTCAAAATGGGCTCTGTCACTGCTGCCTGGGAACGGGAAGGAGCCAGACAAATGGAGAAGGATAACAGTCACAGGGCACCTCTGCTGAGCCCAGGCATGGGCCTTCTGCTGCCCCTCTACCCCACAGGGCAGTCCCTCCCCAGGAATCATGGGCTGCAGGAATCTCTGGACACATTTGGAAGGTGAAGACAGCACTTGCCTGCAGGAAATGAGGGTAGATTTTAAGCCCTGTCTGTGGAATTGTCAGATCCTTGCCCCTCCTGCCCCAGCTGCATCCCCAGAGGACACCTCACACGCTCAAGACACAAAATCAGTTGTGTGAACAACAGGAATGACAGACCCTGGGCCATCTCTTCCCTCTGCACAGCACAGATCCCAAGGGACTCAGCAGGAGCATCTCACATCAGCTCGGATCATGCCTGCATCCCACTCCTCACCCCCGTCCCCCTGGGCACAGCAAGGTGCCAGCACTGAGCACTTCAGCTTTGCCTTTGTCCTGAAGTTTGGGCACTGACCAGGCTCCCCAGGGCAGTGGGCACAACCCCAAGGCTGCCAGAGCTCAGGGAGTGTTTGGACAGCACTCTCAGGCACAGGGTGGGATTGCTGGGCTGTCCTGTTCAGGGCCAGGGGTTGGACTTGGTGTGATCCCTGTGGGTCCCTGCCAACCCAGGATATTCTACACTCCATGATCTGCATCTTGCACTTTCAGTCTCTGGTAGGGGAAGGGTGGAAGGAGCAGCCTTCCCTCTGCCAGCAGGGCAGCCAGGTCTAGCAGGACACATCCCACAGAGCCTCTGCAGCCACCACAGCTCCTGCCAGACACACACCAACCAAACCCCTCCCATTCTGTGCTCGTGGAGCTTCCAGAGGTGTCGTTTTTTAACAACAGAACATTTTGCCAGTACATTCAAAGCAAGGCAGGCTCCTTACACATGGAAGCAGGCACATTCCTACAACCAGAGTCATTCCAGCCGAGCCTCTGTGTACAGACACAAAAGAGCAGCTGCAGTTCTGCAGGGAGCACCATTTCACACCCAGCCCTCCCCAAACAGGGCTGTAATAAACTCCAACGTGGTTGCTCCAGCAAGCATTTGCATGCACAGTGCCTGCACTGCAGGGAGGGAGAGGGGGAACACAGCAGGCATATGTTTTGTTTTCCCTTCACATCTGATTATGCTCATTATTAGGCACAAGAGGACAGGTGTATCCTCCAGACACAACCTCACAAACCGGATTGCTCCTCTCTGCTGGACAGGTGGGGAGTTTGCCACTCAGGGTCTCCTCCAGAGCAGCTGATCACTCACAATCAGCACAAGGCTGAGTAACCCCAGCTGGATCCTGCCCTCCACGGCGCTCCCAGCCAGCCGGGACGGAGCGGGAGAGCTCCAGAGGAACGTGGGGCTCAGGAAGCCAACTTGGCAACGTGCTGGGAAGACAAGGGTAAACCCAAGATGCACAGCAACCTCCAGTCAGAACTGCCCAGCCACTGCTGCATCCCAGGCTAACACAGCACAGGAGCACAGGCATATGCTCACACAGTGCCACAGACTCCCTGAAAGGAGCCCATTTTCCCTCCACATGAAAGCAGGCAAGACAAACCAAATGCTTAAAAATAAGCTTCCCTCTACCAAAATCTGTCAGAGGGAGTTAACCTCCTTTTCTTCCCATTGATTCTATCGTGTTTCTGCTACACAAATCCTTCCTATCTGCTTAAGTGAAAGAAAAGGACGAATATAGCCACAAAAGAAGAAAGTAAAATAGATTCTACTTCCATCTTTCCCCAGGAAAGCCATTTATTGACACTCATTGGGGCAGGGAAAGCACACAGGGGAGCCTGCACGTGTGCACCCCTGAAGCCATCCCCTACTCAAGGTTTATGTTCTTTATGTAGCTCCGTGCACCTCATCTCTGCAGCAAAAACAGTGCCCTGGCAGTGCTGCTCTGACCCCTGACACCTCACTGTTCACCTCTGCAGAGCCTTCACACTGACAGCATCACACTGGTGGTGCATCTCACCCCAGTATTTCACCTGCCTGTTCACAGATCACCCCTGATCACACACACAGAGCTCACCTTGCACACGGGGCTGCCTAAGACAGGAGCCCCTGCATCCAGTACTTCCTCAGGAAGCTGGCTCTGGAAGCCCAACACCTAAAGAAGAAAGCAGAAAAGGATCAGTGCCTGATGAGAACACACAGGGTTTGCCAGAGATCCTGAGACCAAAATCCTGCCATGGCTTGGAATCCCCACTCCCCACCCCACTGACAGCAGCTCAGCAGCAGTTCCCTTCACTGGATCCCTAAGGAAACCCTCCCTGTGGGGTCCAGGGACATCAATGCCACACAGGGAGGATACTGTGGGACCGAGAGCTCTGCCACACTCCCAGTGCACCCTTCCACTTTGGCCACAGCAGGCAGGGGTGACACCTGGTACATCCAAAGGGCACATGTCCTCCCCCAGCCTCTGCTGCTCCCCTTTAGGATATTATTCATTTCCTCTCATTTTTTCCTAAAAGTCAGCTCCCACAGGCTGTTCATCTTCCAAGACAATCCTCCCTCCTGGCAGTCTGTGGGGGTCCTTGCACTTGGCTGCACAGGGCAGTGTGTGCACACACGTGCCCGTGGGCAAGCACTACACAAGGCAGAGCCACTTGCCAACACAGGCTTGTACCAACCCCGATAAATAATGATATTCTCAGCCATTTGCTGGCCATGCTGCCTCTGCTCCCACTGGCAGATGGCAATGGCAGCTTCCTGTGGAGATGAAGAGATGCTGATGGGCATCTCCCCCCATCTCAGGGCTTCTCTCCTGCCTGCCCTCCCACAGGCACCCTCCAGAGCCAGGTCTCCCAGCCACACACACCCCCCTAAGCAAAAGCTGCCGAGTCCCTTAAAGCACAGTTTTTACCCCGCTTATTATTTTCCTTTTTGCAATTATCTGAGCACAGTCCCACCTCTGTGTGACCTACTTTTCCAGGGATTCTGCCTCACCCAGAGCCCCAATCTGCGAGGGGCAGGGTGACACTGCTGGCCTGTGCCACAGCTGTGAGGGCACTGCAAGAGGCAGGCACAGCACTCCCTGGCTGCACCATCCCAGAGGAACCTGAAGCCCCACACCCAAGGGACAAGGAGTTTTTGGTGACTCACCACAGGCTGAGCCAGCTCCCTGTTGGAGCTGTTGGAGACATGCAGGTCCTCCCCACTGATCTCCGACGCCTTTGAAAGCTGAGAGGAGAATGCACGTTACAGCCTGTACATGTCTTACCCCTGCAGCTTCACCTGGGCATTCCCAACAGGACAACTGGCACTGGGAACACAAATCTGTCCCCTCTGTAACACGGGAAACACGAGGTGACTGAACCAGACACTAAGGGTGTGATCCACAAGACAAGCACAAAACACCACAGGTAGGGGCAGGAGATGGGACTGGGGAGGGCAGAGAAGTGCTCTTCAAACACCCCTGATAAAAGGCACTTGCTTCCCTCTTCATCTGCAAGGATGTCTGCGGCTCTAAGAGCTCCCAGCCCACCACCAGAACAGTACCAGGGTCTCTTAAAAGCACTTTAAAAGCTCATCTTGCTGTGCCTAAGTGCAGTGAGGGCTGCTACGTTCCCACCATCATGAAGCCACTGTTCAATGGGAACACCCCGTGGCCCTGTTGACTTCAGCAGGACAACTCAGGTGCAGAAGCACCCAGGGAAGGGTTTGGAAAAGCAGTGCTTTCAGCTCTAAGCTCTTCAGGACAGAGCATGTTTTCCAGGCTCGGCTTTGTGGTTTATCATTTCTTACAGACATCACGCATCAATGAACTAGAGAAATCATCAAAATCAGCAGGAAGGCAGCCAGATTGGAAAGAGATCATTCATCAGAGTCCATACTCTAACTCAGATCCTATTCTGGAGCATGACCACGAGCAGACAGTGCCTGTCTGGCAGCCCAGCTGCGGGGCCAGGCCACTGTGACACTCGGTGCCTCCTGTCAGGCTGCAAACCCAACCCCCCCGGGTCTGCAGCGGCTGTGGCCAGTTCTCCTCCCAGAGTGGGCAGGCTGGGAGGTTCTGTGCTCAGAGGAGAGCTCCAGAGCCAGCCCCAGAGCTCCTTCCTTCCCCGCTCCGACCTCGCGGCTCCCGGCGCGGATCTCGCGGCTGGCACTCACTTCACACCCTGCCCCAGCGCTGCACAAGCTGAGAGGAACAACAGAAGGAGGGAGACAAAGCAGCACGGACAGCTGGGCTCGGCGTGAGCTCCAGCCTCAAACCTGCTCGCTCAGGACAGACGGCAGCGCTGGAAGCTGAGACTGTTTCTCCTCCAAGACTCAAAACACGCCTGGCAGCTGAAGGTTTTGCCTGTCAGTGGCTTTGGACAGCATTTGGTGCGTGCAGGAGAGAATGACTGCCTAGCTCGATCCTGGAACGCCAGTCTGGAAATTCAGAGCACTTTGTGCCCCCCCAGGAACACCCTGCTGACCAGGAAAGCACTTGCACTGGCTCCACAGAAAACGAGGCAGTGCCCCAAGGGCTTTCCTGAGTCAGGGCCTGAGGAGACGACAGGAAGAGCCAACACCAACCCCAAACCATGCAGGCAGGTCTCTTACTTCACCAGCATCCAGCCTGCTCTCTGGTTTTGGATCAGCTGCTGCTTCTTCCCTCACTTCATCCACCATCTTTTCTCCACAGGACACGGTGTCAGCAGTGGCAGCCAGGCTCCCCAGCTCATCTGCCTCAGCATCTTCCACAGCTGCAGGAGCAGCTCCAGGCTGTCCAGGACTGCTGGGCACATCCATCCTTGCTGTGCTCCTTTCCCCCACAGACTGGGGCAGCTCCTCAGCTGCAGGGATGTCACCTTCCACCTCAACATCATCTTTGTCCAGTACCTCATCCCCAGCAAGTTCCCCACCAGAGCCCTCCTTGTTCTGGCCAGACAGGCTGCTGTCAGCATCTCCAGGAAGGATCTGAACTGGAGATGGAGGGCACGCAGCATCAGAATCCAAGGAAGACTCTTGCACTTCTTCAGCATGTCTTGATTTTAAAGATTCCTTCTAGGCAGCAAGTCAAACACAATTATAGCCACAACATTCTCTCTGGGGGGATGCAGGGGTCAGGAATAGCACAGGCTCTCCTACAGCAAGCAGCAAAAAAAAAATAAATCACAAAGCTTTGGGTGACTTTGAGACCTGTTTGACTGCTTTTCACACAGTCCCATTCCAAAACAAGGGACCTCACTGAGATAATCTCATTCATTTCTTGGGCTCTCACTTGGGTTTTTTCATCTGTTGGTTTTTTCATTCACAGGGTCTCAGTGGACAAGAGTGGGCAGCACCCCATGTGCTCCACAGCAGACCCATTTATGCTTCCACATGAGATCTGTTCAGTAAGAGATGGGAATGTGTTAGAGACCATCACCGGTCATTCTACTTCTGTCTCATGTTTTAAGCAGAGAACAGTAGGCAGGATCATCATCCCACCTTCCAGCAGTACAGACTTGAAGGTGGGCACTGACTGAAGCTCAGAACAAGCCTGTGACTAACACAGGAGGCTGAGAGATGGCAGAACCCACCAGTCTGGGGAAAAAAGCAACCCCAAATTAAAGCCTAGTCACCCAAAGGCTCCACTGCCTCTCCCAGCAGTGGGGACGCCACAACCCCCACTGTGGAGAGCGGAATAGCCAGGAGGGAGCAGGAGAAGGTTCCCTCATCAGCATGCAAACAGCCCTGCTCGCAGGTCCCACTTCCTCACTGTTTTATTAATGCCATGGTGTCTCATCAAACGTCCCCTCACCCCGCGCGCGGCACGTCCCGGACACCCAGCGCACATTTAACGGGGTATTTTTATCCCAGTGCTGCTGGAACGCAGGCAGCTCCAGGCCCGGAGCTGGGGCACGCTCCCTGGTGTGCCATTTGTCTGTGAGACCTTCTCCTTGGGGCCAGGGGAGCCATCCATCACGGCTGGAGAGGCCAGGGAAATCCAATCCCTTCCCGAAAACCCTGCAGTTCTGAGCCTCACCTGTAACTCCCTGTGCAGAGCAGTGCCTGGCTGGCAGAGGTCCCCAGAGTCACCACCTGGGAAGGCCTCGGTGACACCAGAACCCAGAGAAAGGTGTGCAAGGGCCATTTCTTTAGGGCTGCTCCAGTGGAGGAGTTCTCATGGTACTTCCTTTTATCTGGGGATTAGGGTGGCTGGAAAGGTAGGCTCCTCTTGGACAGACTTGCTTTAGAGTTCTCCTGAGGACACCCCACCAGGAGACCTGACAGCATCCAGGATATCCCACATGAGACCAAGCTGGATTTTGATGCTTGAAAAGTGCACAGGCACAACAGAACAGAGCAGTGTAGCACTAATACTGTGCACACAACAGGGTTTCTCTCCAGGCAAGTTCACTTCAGTTACTAAAATATCCCAGAATAATTTCTTTAGCTGGCAGAATCCTATTTTAAGAGCAGTTATAGACAAAAGCTTTTGTTAATGTTACACCTTGATGATCACAAATGCAACTCTCCAGAAGAGGGAACTGTGCCAGCCAGAGACATAGGTGGAAGAAGAGGAGGGAGGTTTTCCTCCTGCAACAGACTATGGATTTTCTATGGATTTCAGAGCTGGGACAAGTCAGTTGGGTCATAATTGGCTTTCACTGATCTTTTCACAAGCTGTAACATGTTTTATGTGCACTGAGTGGCACTAAATGATGGGAAATTCCTGTCTGTCAAACCATTACTCCCAGTGATTGCCATAAGTCTGGAGAAAAGCACATTGATACCAACAGGACCAGGTTTGGGAAAGATAAGTGATCCAGAAGTGAACAATCAGGATAAACAGCACCCACCAAAACTCAGTCCAACTCAACTTAGAAAGAAGGATGACCTGCCACCCTTGCACTTTACCATGCTGAACGTGAGAGGACAACAAATGTCACATTTTTTCTACCTTTAAAAGGAAAAATTGGGAAACAAATCTCATACTGCATGGAGAATAACTTTGAAGGGTGATGTGTTCCCTTCCTGCTCCCTGATTCCAGGCTGTTCTCAGGCACAGAGAGGGGGTTAGGAATGCCACAACTCATATCTGGGCAGTGTTTGCCCTTGGATTTTACGTTTACACCTCTCTCCATGCACATAACACTTTAACCAGCAAAAGAAACAAGACAAGCAGCCACCAGATGCAACCACAACACTAGAAGCTACCTACTGCATGCAAAAGCTCAGTGACACTGTGCAAGCAGGAGGGAGATGCCAGAGCCACCATCACCTCTGCCAGGCTGCCAGCATCCTCCACAGGACTCCCGGGGTGCTGGGGAGCAGCTCCAGGGGGATCAGCACCATCAGCCAACGGGCTGCTGGGGTTCTCCTGCTCTGCCTCGCTGTTCTCCTGAAGGGGGGGGTGACACAGCCACTTGCAGAAGTGCCCAAGCCACCTTTCCAAGCTGGGAGAGTCACACACTGTGACACTCTTCCCAGCTCCAGACTCCCTGTGAGCTGTGTCTCCACACTCCCCCAGCACAGGGGACAGCAAGGCTACACACCCAGCAGCCATTCCTCCCCCCCCACCAGTCAGCCCTGTGCTGGTATCCCAGGGATGTGTTTCCTGGGAAGCAGCAGCACTGCTTCCTGCACTACATCCCTGCGGGAACACACCAGCTCTACTGCTCCATGTTCATGTGCAGAGGCAGCTCCCTTTCACCCTCCAGCTAGTAAAGAAGTCAGGAATGGTAATTTCCCAACACAAAGGACTCCCTTGATTCCCAGCATTTACCCAGAGACTGATGCCAAGGTGCCAGCACTGCCACAGGGGATGTTTCTGCTGCCACGGGACTCTCCCCAGGTACCCAAAGGTGCTGCCAGACCTATTTCTCCTCTTGCCCCTTCCAGCATTATCCCCAAGCCCTTTTGTATCTTAGGGAAGAGTCTCCCATGCCTGCAGGGAGGACTCAGGGTGCCAGAAGGCAGGAAAGCAGGTCCAAGGGAGAGCTGACCCCACAGGCAGCTGAGCACACTGAGCTCTGGGAGAGACCCTCTTTCCAAGGGGACATTCAGACTACACCTCACACCCCAAGTTCTCCAGCATCTGACCTGGGTTTCATTTTAAGTGCCTTTGCCCCAGTTAACCCATTCCTTGCTCCAGAAACACCCACTGAGGGGGGAACATCCACCTCTCCTCCCTCTCTTCCCAGACACTCCGATGCTGCCTCCACTCACCCAACATCCCATCTCTGCAAGTCACTTAAACCACATATTTCCTTTGAATACAGACACTCAACCCTGACCACGGGCTACACGAAGTCAGTTTTTTCATTAATTCACCCACTGCTGCTTAGACTTCCCCCTGTAGGACTTGCTACACAAACCCTTGGCTCTGTTTTGTGAGGAAGCTGGAGGATGGCTCAGGAACAGTCTGAGCTCCCAGGAATGCTTTTCTACTGCCATCTCATGGAACTACAAAAGAATTCTATTTTCCAGTGGGGCACTGCTACCTTATCAGGACTAGGACATCACCCATCTGGGTTAACAGCCTGGCTGTTGGGCAGCAATTGCCATTCCATAATAGATTCCTGAAGCCCCATCCCCAGGGCACTGACATGCCAAGACAGCTCTTTGTTCCTGCACACATTAACATTTCAGTGAGGAACTGGGCCCCCACAGGCTGCTTGTTGTCTGGAGATGAGAGAGTCAGGGCTCCCTTTGTCACATCCACTTTAGCATAAGCCTTCACAGATCCTGCCCAGCACCTTGAATGGGTTCTCCAGCAAAGTACTTTACAGCTTAATTTTAGTGTGCTGTGAAAAGGATAAGGCAAATACTCTAAAACACTTTAAAAGAAATTAATTTGCCTTTCAGATACTGGAACAGGATTTTCAAAGTGGTGAGAAAGGATTAATGTCAGCACAAACAGTCGGGCCAAATCAGCAGAGCTGCTTACAACGCACTTCCCATTGTGCCCTTGTCATCTTAAGCCTGATCCCGGCTAAGGCAGAGCACAGGGAAAGCACAGTGTCTGCACAAGGCCCTGGGTGCACTGAATGCTCAGTGTCTCAGCCATGGGATTTATCCCCAGTGCAAGAAGAAAGAAAACAGGTTTTGTGTCGCCACAGAAAAGTGGCCACGTGCAGCCCACATTAAGGTCCTTGTGGGACCGAGGGACAGTGCAAGAGCATTCCCAGAGGACATTCCCTTCTCCTTTCCCCAGTGCCACCATTGCAACTTCAGCTGAAAATGAGCCTTCTCCCTCCACTCACTGCCAAAAAACACATGGAAGCCAAGTGTGCCTCTTCCTCCTCGAGCCTTCCTCCCACAGCAAGTGCAGTGGCACCTCTGACCCGAGACCCTCTTCCTGCTGTTCCCTGCAAGAGCAGGTCTCCACCTTGCCTGGGTCACCTACATGGCTTTACTTTTCTCTCCTTTGGAGTGAAACAAAGTGCAAAGATGTCTCCTCAACTCCCAGCTACCAAACCACAACCATCCTCCTCCAAACACAAAACCTGCCTTCAGCACCCACCCCACTGCTCCCTGTGGGCCACCTCTGGATTCTCACACCCCCCCAGCCCCGAGGCTGTGCCTTCCTGTCCTTCAGCCTGTTCCAGGTCGTTCCTAAGTGACACAAGAATCTTGTCCCTCTGGCACCATTCCTGCACCCTCGTTGCCTGGGTGCTGGCAGTGCCTCAGCTCCTCTCCCAGCAGGGCAGGTTCACCTGCCCATCCCATCACCCCTGCTCTTACCTCAAAGTCAAAGCTGCCTCCCAGGGCGTCCACATCCAAGTACAGGTTTTTTAGCAGTCCTGATGTCCCACGGAAACTCTAAAAGCGTTAAAAGAAGGAGATGGTCGAAACTGAGTCCTGCCCTCTGCGATCCCAGGGGAAGAACTGAGGCTTCCTCAGCAGTGAAACAAGGCAGCAGAGCCATGGCAATACACCTACAGCCAGCTCATTTTGGAATTGCACCATGGTAGGTGTTGATTTGGGGGGATTACAATGTGAAAACAGGTTTTAGATGTTTTCTGGCCACCGAACAGCACAGGGAAAATGCAGCACAAATCAAAGCCAAGAGGAAAATGGAACAGCCACAGTCAAGCAGCCATTACCAGGGGAGCATCATGAGGCTTCGTGCACTCTGCTTACTGTCACACACACCGAGAGCCAAGGCACACAAACTACCTCATTTTCACTGTCGTCCTCCTCGTTCCTCCATTTATCCAGAGCCGCCGTGTCCAAGGAAATCTTCTCGTCGTCACAGAGCAAGCCCAGCAGGTTCCTGGTGTGCCCAGTGGGCTTACAGATCTCTGCAAGCTGTGCAGGCCAGCAGAAAGGGAAGAGAGAGGACAGATGACAGGAAAGGGAAGATGGAAACCCACTGAGACCCTGGGCAGCTGCTGGAATCTGGGCAGGAGCTCAGGACTTCACTGCCACCCTCGTGCTGCCAGAGCCATGTCCAGCTGGGAGAGATGTTCCTAATGAGGCCAAAGAGGCTCCTGTCCTAGAGGGGCACATCTGAAACCCTCCTGTGCCTCTGAACACTGATTCAGGCAAGACCACAATAAAATATTTGATATCACCAGTGACAAGACTTAATTCAGCGAGAAAACCTTTAGTGAAGGTGTTGATTTGTATGTTTCCCACATATATTGCTTCACTTACCATTAAAAGATCAATTTCCCACCACTTAACAGGTTTGTTTATTTGTAAAGGTGATTATTTGTGTGTTTTGCACACATTTTGCTTTGCTTTCCTTTAAAAGATCAATTTCTTACCACTTAACAGGTTTGTTTATTTGTAAAGGTGATTATTTGTGTGTTTTGCACACATTTTGCTTTGCTTTCCTTTAAAAGATCAATTTCTTACCACTTAACAGGTTTGTTTCATTGACTCAAAGGTCAGTTTCTATAAATAATCATTTGACATGACTGTAAGTCTTACATTTATCAGGAAAACTGTTCTTTTAAATTTTTTATTCTCAAATAGATGAGTGAAAGTATTGTTTATTAGACTGTATTATCTGTATTGTTCACCACGCTTCACTTGCCCACCAAAGTTCTGCTAAAACAAACTGAATAGATTTTGTTTCCCCCCACAGTAATTGAAACAATTCCTTCTTTAAATCTGCTAAACATAGCAGAAGAAAGCTCAGCACTAATTTAGCACTGGGCTCCCTAGAAATAGAAGAAAAGAAATACTGCTGTCTGCTAAAAAGCTGCCTTTCAAAGCCAGCAGAAGATCACAAATACTGCCATTTAAGCTTCTAAGTGTCCCCACCCCGTGAGCCTCTGCAGTGTGCCTTCCAGGGAAGAGGGAGCCTCACCTGAGTTCCTTCCCTGGCCATCAGGTCGGAGTCCACCACGCTGCCCACGCTCGGGGAGCCACGGAGGACGAGGGGCTGAGACGGAGCGAGGCCACGGAGAGGAGAGAGGGGCCCCAGGGGCAGCTGGATGGGGGCCAGGTGGGGGCCCAGGGGCTGGAATACAGAGAGGGGACTCGCTGACAGGAGAGCAAAGGTGAGCAGCTCCCTTTGGAAAGGGAGGAGGGGCTCCCCTGTGCAAGCCCAGCTGAAAACCTGCCTGGGGCCCCACAGCCACCAGCACACGGGACAGGGGAGGAAACACACTTTGATTTATTCGAATATTTTGCCTTCCAAAAGACCCATCTGAATGGGACCAGAATGCTCCTTTCTTTCAGAGGGCAGCAGGAGCCCTGGGAGCCATCCCACATCCTCACCTCTGAGCTCACACCCCAAGTTATCATCACCCAGAAATGTGACCATCCTGTTGGACAGCGTGGAATTCCCCATCCCAGGAGTCTCACCCAGCACAGGTTAAACCAGAAGCACATGTATGCCAGGGTTTTACTTGTGGCACTCCAGGGTTTTCCCTGTGGCACAGCACTACAACCAAGGGCTGGTGCTTCAGCAGAGCAGGTGTGTTTTCAGAAACCACAGTCCCTGTGCCTACACAGGATTCCAGACTGAAATCAGAGTTAATTCACTGATGGATGGGGACAGGGGGATGTCATCACCACAGCAATGGTAACAGAATAAATCACACTCTGGGCTTAAACTAATTATTTTCTACAGATGGCCACTAACCACACGTACAGAACAGAGAATGTTCACTGTCCTTCAGCAGAGACAAATGTGCTTCCATCAGGCTAATTAAAACTTTTGGGATAATCTACAGTTTATCTGTTATTTATAGTTCTTATCAGCTGCCTGAGAACTACCACACTGGTAATGAGAAACCTGAACTGGTAACTCAGTGGAGCCACAGCTGGGCACCAGCAGAGCACAGCAATCCATTAATGCTACACACAGTGACCTTTCAGTTCATTTTTGTCTTCAGAACAAGAGATTGGGTAAGTTCTTATTAAATTGAGGCCATTACTTATGGACAAAGACAAAACAACCTGGAATGTCCTCCCCAGGTAAAGGCAGGACCTGTGGTAGGCAACAGAGGGAAAAGTTTGGGCAAAACTGAGCAAAATGGTTGAGCTATTCCCAGAGGAAGGAGAAAATTACAATTACAGATGGGTTCCATCACACCTGTAAGTCACTTCAGTGTCCTAAGACACAGGTACAGCCACCCAACTGTGCTCAGACCTGCAAAGCCACGGGCCAGTAACTACTGGGAATGCTCCTCCTCCCGTGTGGAAGAGGCAGCTCAAACTTTCTCCCATTTTTCTTCCATTTAAGAGGGAATAGAGTCCATTTCTCAAGGTGCTGGCCACGGGTGAAGGAGAGCTGACTGCAACTTGTGGTGTCTTATATCACCTTAACCAACTCACCCTGGGATTCAGCAATCAAAACTAAGCTGCAAAGAGCTGAATAAGCCATTCCCCCTCAGTTTAGACTGCAGGACCTCCAGGGAAAAGACCAACTTCACAGTGTGCTTACTACAAAGAGCCTTATAGCCCAAATTAAAGGTGATTTTGAATTCACTTGATTTACTGCCCATCACCTGGGTTTGAGTTCAGAAAGCCCTTTGTGTCCCCTCTGCCCAGCCCTCCCCAGAAGCACCACAAGCAGAGTCTACTCACAGGGGTTTGCTTCAGCGACTGCTTCTCCTTCTTGTCCTTCTTCTCTTTCTTTTCTTTCTTCTGCTTCTTCTCTTTCTTCTCCTTCCTCAGGCTGCCCTGTGCCAGCAGCTTCTCCCTCTCCCGGACCACCAGCTCCCTGTACTGCTCATCACAGGGGTGCTCCCACATGGACTGGCCCGTTGCAAAGTTGAAGTAATACACATCACCAGTGGTGTCTTGGCTGCACGGCAAAAACCAGCGGGAAAAGATGGAAGGGCACATAAAAACACAGCTGCACAGGCCAGAACATCTCCTTGCTGGGTGGCCTGACCACCTGGAGCTCAGGGAAGAGGAGCATGAAGCCTCCAAGAGGCCAAGAATACATCAGTGTGGGGAAGCAGCCCCTCCTAGGATGCTCATGACCTTATCAAGCTTCCCCAACAGTTTTCTCCCCCTTCTTCTGCCACCCCAAAAAGCCCTGAGCTCCCTCAGCCACAGGAAGTAAAATACTGTGGTAAAATATCCCTCCTCCTCACCACCAGAATGCCAGGGCAGCACACAGAGGGGAAGGACAGGAAAGACCAGGAATCATAGACTGGTTTGGGTTGGAAAGGACCTTAAACATCCTCCCTCCTGCCATGGGCAGGGACACCCTCCACTACACCAGGTTGCTCAGACCTCCATCAAACCTGGCCTTGGACACTTCCAGGGATGGGGCAGCCACAGCTGCTTCCCTGTGCCAGGGCCTCCCCACCCTCACAGGGAAGAATTTTTCCCTGATATCCAACCTAAACCTCCTCTCTGTCAGTTTGAAGCCATTCCCCCTTGTCCTGTGACTGGGAACCACCCAGGACAGCTGCAGCCAGAGTCTCACCAGGGCTTCCAGTCAGGGGGTAACGGGGCCACCAGGCACTCCCTGGCCAGCCACAGCAGCTCTGACTCCTTCTCGGGGTCAATCCCGATTATCGGTGCAAAGTTCCGGATTTCTAGGAAAACACGAGAGGACTCTGTGAAGACAGTCTACACCAGCCACCACACAGTACAGCCACCCTCCCAGCTATAGCAGGGAGCACACTGGAAAATCCAAACCAAAGCTGCTCAAAGCCACCAGCACGGTCCTGTGTGTCCATAGCAAACAAAGAGCTCATTTTTCAGCCCTCTCTTCTGCAAAATTCCACATATTTTACCCTCTCCACCCACACCCTCCCCAGTTCCCACTCTCTGAATACACCTAGAAGTGACCTGTGTGCCTGAATCCCTTCTCCCAGCTCCCAGGAGGACAGGCAGCACTCACCTTGCTCATCAGGAACGTAGGAATCGTTGTAATCTTCTTCCAGAATGAGCTGGGTCCCGATGCGCACGGCCCCTGCCACGAGTCCCCTCTCCATGGCTCCCACACCTGGGGGCGAGAAGGAAGCAACACAAAGTCACGACTGCCCTCAGAAGCAAAGGTTCCCTGTCCCCCAGCACATGGCAGAGCCCTTCCACCTGCAGCACACGCAGCAAAACCAAACCAAAGAGCTTCCACACACACTTCCAGGGGCTGTGGAAACAAGGAGCAGGGCTGAAGCAGCACAAAGTTATAATCAGATCCCCCAGGCCTCCGAGTTTCTACAGAGGAGATGAACATTTGCTTCAGGCACTTTTTAACCAGGCAAAAAAAAAATAAGCTGAAAGGAGAAAGGGAAGGAAGAGAAAGCAAGCAGCTTTCCCAGAGCTCAGCTTTGAGAGAAGTCTCAGGGCTGGATCAGCACTGCCCAGGGACAAGGCAGCTTCTCCCTACTTACCTTCACCTCTCCCACCTCCTCAGAGAACACTCCAGAAGCTGTAAAAGGGTCGTAATTTAACACATCCCACCTGTAGCCCATTGCTTCGTTATTTAACTCGTAGACCACAGCACAGCTGGGCCCTTGCAACCCATCCAGCACAGGTTTAGGCACTTGGACTTTAATTGCCTCACCCCAAACGTCCCCAGCTGTGGCTCTGCATGGCCACCTTTGGCCAGCACGAGCCTCCCACCACTGTGTGTGGGGCCAGATGCCAGTGCCAGCACAGAGGGGACTGTGACCTGCTGCTCAAATACAAGGTCAAACCTTTCAGCCTAAAAACCCCCAAGTTCTCAATGCACAAAGCATTCCTCTGCTATACTCACGAGACCCAGGGGGTTGCAGTACCAGCCAGGGGTCTGGGCAGCATTAACACCCCAGTGATGACTGCCCAGAGCAGGATCACCACCCACTGCCTGTAACCAGCCGTCGCTGCCCTCTTCACCTCCCTCTGTCCTCAGCCCACTCCGTATTTATAACTCTTATGTAAAACAAGTCTCAGAAGCAGCAACTAATCCTGGCAGTTTCCAGGCAAAGATATCCTCGGGACACGCCTGAAGCAAAACAGCATCACGGGGCTCACACACCCACCCCCCACCCTGCAAACGTCCCCAGTTAGAGCATTTGGATGTGAGCAACTCACTCAGGGCCCTCCGTTCGCGTTTTCCTGTCCCAGCTCTAACTCAGCCCCATTTTCCATCCCCGGAATTAGCGCTGGATGGCTCACTCTTCTCTTGGAGACGCTGCCTCGGCGCACCCGGGGAGAACTTCCTGCCGCCTTTCAGTGCCTGACGGGCACCTATAATAGATGGGGACAAGGGAGAACAGTTTTAAACTAAAAGAGGAGGGATTTAAATGAGATATTAGGAGGAATTCTCCCCTGTGAGACTAGCGAAGCCCGGGCACAGGTTGCCCAGAGAAGCTGTGGCTGCCCCATCCCTAGAAGTGCCCAAGGCCAGGTTGGACGGGGCTTGGAGCAACCTGGGATAGCGGAAAGTGCCCATAACCACGGCAGGGGGTGAAACTGGATGAGCGGATCCCTGCCAAGCCACAAAACCGTTCCCTGCTTCTATGCAAAGCGAAATTCAAAGCTAGTGTAGCCCGTGCAGCCTGGAGCCACGGGAGACGCGCAGCTGGCGAGGAGGAGAAACAGCTTTGACTAATAAAGCATAAAATAAAAGCAAAGAGAAAGCCCTTTCCACCCAAGTCACGACGGCGCACACGCGACCGCCGGGAGCCGGCAGACCCCACGTGCGGCGGGAGGGTAGGACCGCTCCCGCAGCCGTCCCTTCCGAGGGAAGCCTCCCGGGGCCGGGACCGCCCTGGGTCCGGTAGCCCCGTCCCGCTCACGCGTAGCCCCGGACCCGCCTCCGGGGCCGCCGCCTGTTGCCGGAGCGCGGGGAGCAGCCGCGGCCGCTTGAACTGGGCCCCGCCCCCGGCGCCCGGCGCCATTGGCCGCTGGGGGGATGCTCGGCCACCGAATTGGCCGCGGGGAGGAGGGACGCATGACGTCACCGAGGCTTGGGCCGCCGGAAGGGCAAGCGTTGCGGTTTGCCCAGTGGCGACGCGTGGGTACCGCCCGCGGCGCATCCGCGCCGGGAACCGGGAACCGGGACACGGGACCGGAGGGAGCGGGACGGCACGGGGAGAGGGGCCGGGAGAGGACGGCGGCCGGCTGGGGAGGCCAGGGCGGGTCTCCCGCGGCATGCGCTTCCGCCGGCGGGGGGCTTTCCGGGGGCGGGTTGCCGCGCCGCCATGCCCGCCCGCCGCCGCGCCGCCCGCCGCCCCGGCGCGGCCGCCCCGCCGACGCGGGGCGCTGCGGGCCCGCTGACCCGCGTCCCCCCGAGGGGCTCCCCCGCGGCAATGGCGCCCCGGCCTGGCCCTGGCTGCTGCCTGCTGCTGTGGCTGGGGCCGTGCGCGCCGCTCCCGGCCCCCGCCGCGCATGCCGGCCTTGCCGCTGCGGGGCGGAGCGGGCCCGCCGTCGGGCTGCCGGCAGCGCCGGCGCCGCTGGACGCCCGAGCCCCGAGGCGCGCCGCAGCTTCGTGGAGATGATCGAACTCTGCGGGGCAAGTCCGGGCAGGGGTACTACGTGGAGATGACGGTGGGCAGCCCCCCGCAGAAGGTGAGGTGGGAGGGGATGGATCCCCCGCATCTCTCGCATCCCCCGCATCTCCCGCATCCCTCTGCATTCCCCGCGCCCCGGGGGGCTGCGAGTCCCCCTCCGGGGTCGCAGAGCGGAGGCTCTGCGGGTGCCACCATGGCTGCGCGGCTCTCGCTGCACAGCCCGCGCTTCCCGTCGCTCCTCATCGCTCGGGTGATGCTTTTCCTGCTGCCTTTTGGTGAACACTGGCCGCAGGCGCCCGCCGAAGGTCACCCCAGCTCTCCCGGGCTGCCCGGGCACTCCGGGGAGAGGCAGCGGGTGCTGCGTGTGCTTCTGCGTGCGGGGCTGCATCCCTCCATCCATCCCTTCCCCCTTCCATCCCTCCCTCCCTTCTTCCATCCATCCCCTCTCCCGAGCCAAAGCTTGCTGCCACTCCGGCAGTCGCCGTGTGTGGGCAGCGAGGGATGTGGGGTGCACAGCCCCGCGCCCGCCTGGAGCGGGCACAAGCCAGTGCGCGAAAGAAGCCACGGCCAAGCCGTGCTTGGCACGTTCCTCCCGGCGCAGCGCCTGGCGCAGCTGCTGCCCGGGTCCGTGTGCCGCTCCCGACCCGGGCAAATTCTCCAGAAATCCTCCGGAGCTTTGTTTTCCCGGGGATCTCGTGCACAGGAGTCTGCAGATCTCTGTCACTGCACAGGAGTCGGGGCAGCATGGAGAGGCAAAGGGTAGGAAAATGGGGTGGTCTGGCTGGAAAGGGAGCTGGTGCATCACCAGCTTCTGCTCCTTCTCCATCTTTCTGTCAGCATCCCTCACGTCCTGGAGCTGCGCTGCCCAGCTCACGTTGTGGCACCGTGTGCCTTCGTGCTGGGGACAGGATGGGTGCTGATGGGCAGGTCACACAGCACGGGGAGAGCAGCTCCTCCCTGCTTTTATGGGTGACATCGTGGAGGCTCCTGCTGCCAAATCCCTTTGTGCCCCTACTGATCCCCACTGGTACCAGCAGCTAGTCAGGCTCAGGGAGCAGGCCAGCCCAGCACTCGAGGCTCTGCACTCCTCCCAGCACGGGGCCACGTTCCCTTGTGCCTGCCACCGCCACTTTTTGGGTGCTGCCAAAACACCCAGTGCCCACACAGGCTCTGAAATAAAGACTGGCTTTTCCCCACGAGCTGGCTGTGCCCTGTGTGTGTGGTGGGGGAGAGCCATGTGAGCGAGACGTGAGCCGTGGACAGGAGAATAATGTCACCACCACGAAAATCGGATCTCTGGGAGCGGTGTCGTGTTGTCCCTGTGTGCCTGGGATTTATTCTCTGCTCTGGCAGGGTGCATTTAGGGGGAAAAAAAGGGAGGAGATTATTTCTGAAATCTAGTTTTAAATGTGATTTCATCATCTCCTGCCTGCCACGTGTCGCAGCTGCCAGATAATTTCCGTGCTAACCACCTGTTCCCAGGCACTCGTGCATTCCGGAGCCAGTCGCCCTTTTGGGCAGCATCTTCCAGCCTTGGATTGCTTCCAAATGTGTGTGTGTGTGTGTGTGTGCTGGAGCAAAATCCCTCCAGGCGTTGCAACGGAATTAAAAGATTCATATGAAAGAGTTTGGCTGTGCCTTCGCAGGAAATCAGGGGCATATTTGTCCCGAGGGGTGCGTGCATCCTTCCCAAAGGGTCACATACAGCAGGGAGATGGTGATCCATCTCCTCAGCTTTCCTTTCACCTTCCTGGTGCTGACAGGGGAGTTTCTGTATCCTCTTGTGCTTTAATTTTGGTTCTGAGCTGTGCTGCACTGCCAAGTCACCGTCAGCAGCCGATTGCTCACACACTCTGTGTGCCCAAGCATGTTGGTTTCCCTGGCTCCCCAGGACGGGCTGATTCATAAACACAGAGGGAAGAGGGGTGAGACAAGCATGGAGAGCTGGTGTTTTGGGACAGATGGCACAGGCTTAGTCCCCAGGAGCGGCACTGAGCACTAGGACACGCGTGGCACAGAGCCAGTGCTGCTGCTGAGGTGCCCTGGAGGGGCTGTCACTTCCAGGGACAGGTTTCAGACAGCATCCCTGTCACACATGTCCTGGCCTCACCAGTTCACGTGCTGTGTCCTGGCCCGAATGGATGGCTGGGCTGAGTCTCAAGGATCTGGGTCCTCTCCACGTGGGTCCTGTGCGTGACCCTGTCAGCAGGATGGAGCCTGCGAGAGCAAAACCCCCTCCTCGCTTCCTTCTCTCCCTGTAGCATCAGCTCAGCAGGTCTTTCTCCAGGGAAACATGTCTCCTCTGGGTGCCCTAGGGATGAGAGATGAGCTCTGTGGAGTGGGTGGCCCCTGGTGACCCACCCACAGAACTGGGAACAGCCCTGGGAGCAGCGCAGGTGCCGGTTGCCAGGGGAAGGTCGGGCTGTGCAGCAGGTGCTGAGCTGGCACTCACCCAGGGTGGATATTGGAGGTGCAAATGTGCTGCTCTGATCTTTACCCATGGCAGGAAGCTGGCCAGCAGAGGCCGTCCCCCAGTGCAAGGCAGCAGGGCTGGGGCACAGGGCACCCAGGACATGGCAGCCCTTGTCAGGTGGCCGTGGAGAACACTCAGCAGCTGCAGCCCAGCACTCCTGCGATTAGCACAAGCGCATTAACCTCCTTCTCTGCCCTCTGACTCCACAGATTAAGGGCCCAAGCCCTGGCAGTGCTGGCTGGGGTGGTGCTGTGAAGCAGCCCCCGGGGCTGGGGTCAGGGCTCACCCCAGGCACTGCTGCCCTGCAGGGCTTGGAGCCCCATTCCCACCCCAGCAATCCCGCTCCAGCAATCCCACTCCAGCAATCCTGCCCTGGCAATTCCACCCTGGCAGTCCCACCCTGCTCCCCGCAGGGGCCACAGGCAGGGGTCAGCTGGGGGCAGGATCCAGCTGGCCTGCTCCCAGCCCTGCCGGTGGGATGTTTGCCAAACCTGGTAATCCCGCACAGGCAGGAATGAATCGGGAGCAGGGCTCGGCATATGGGTGGTGATTAGCGGGCGCAGCAATCCTTCCCACCAGCTCTGCCAGCAAATCAGCTTTCCTGGCAAGGGGAGCCTATGCATCCTGTCTTGCTGCTGCTCTTCAGACCCATGACACCTGCCAGGTGCTTCCCAAATCCCGTGGACTGGGGGGCTGAGGCCAGGCCGTGCTGAGCGAGGAGCTCATGCTCTGTTTTCATGGTGCTGGACAGTGTTTGCTTGTTGTCCAACGCCCTGATGTCGCTGCCTCCTTCTCCACCACCTTCTTCTCTCCTCTCTGGGCACAGCAAGAGAGAGTCCCACTGCACTCATGTACCTCCCTGTCTCTCTTCCCCAGCTGAACATCCTGGTGGACACAGGGAGCAGTAACTTTGCTGTGGGAGCTGCACCACACCCCTTCCTCCGGAGATACTACCAGCGGCAGCTGTGAGTATGTGGGGGGACACAGAGCAGAGCCACTGTCCCAGCCCCACAGTGGCACACTGCCCCTTCTTGCTGGGGGTCTGGCCAGGCCCTGCCAAGTACCAACTGGCCTCTGGAATAGCAGGATCCACACGGCCCCTTCCAGTCTTACTCGTCCCTTTGATGCCTTTGCAGGTCCAGCACCTACCGCGACCTGCGGAAGGGGGTGTATGTGCCCTACACCCAGGGCAAGTGGGAAGGGGAACTGGGCACTGACCTGGTCACCATCCCCCACGGCCCCAACGTCACCGTC